AAAAGGGGAAAAGAAACAAAACACTTCCCCCTAAGGATTTAAAACCACTAGGCAATCAGAAGGAACAAACTACTTATAAACACAGCAATGTAGATGAATTTCAAAAACATTAGGCAGAGAATTCAAAACTACAAGATGGCCTTCACTGGGCTTTACAAGGCTCACTACTTCACTGGGCTCACTACTTGCATGCCTCAATAAACCTCAAGCCAATAAGGTAGTTTGAAGTTGTCCCAGATTGATAGTGCCCGTGACCAGAGGTAAGCAAACTATTGCAGGTGAAAGGTCAGAGTAAATAATTTAGACTTTGAGGGCATCCAGTCGCTGCTACAACTACTCAGCTCTGCTGTGGTGGTGCGAAACCAAACAGACCGTGTGCTAACAAAGGCATGTGGCTGTCTTCCAACATAGTTTTGTTTACAAAAACAGGCAGAGGGCAGGAATCAGCAGTCTGTGATTGGCCCAAATGAAGATAAAGTTCTTTGGATGACAGATCATTTTGAAAATTCTCTAAACACACAAAAATAAAACTCCATCAATGATAAGCCACAAGGGGGAAAAAACAGACCCTGAAAAGGTGTAAGATTTTGAAATAGGTGGGGAAAATACAAAGTCAATATTCTTAAGATGCTTCAAACTTATTTAAGGGTAAGCACATCTGAAAAAGAATCAGATATAACTCATATAAATGAGCAACATAAAAACTGAAATTAACCTTGACCGGTTTGGCTCTGTGGATAGAGCGTCAGCCTGTGGACTGAAAGGTCCCAGGTTCAATTCCAGTCAAGGGCATGTACCTTAGTTGCAGGCACATCCCCAGTGGAGGGTGTGCAGGAAGCAGTTGACTGATGTTTCTCTCTCATCGATGTTTCTGTCTTCCCCTCTCCATTCCTTTCTGTAAAAAATCAATAAAATATATTTTTTAAAATTGAAATTAAAAACTCACTGAAGAGATGAAGCAGCAGATTCGACTGAATTAAAGAGAGAATTAATGAAATGGTAAGACTAAAGATTATCTAGAAAAAAGTCTAGAAGAGCAAAGAAATGGGGACAAAAGGCTGGACAGGGGGCAATGGAGGGGTTGAGAAGCAAAGAAAAAAACTCATGGACACAGACCACAGTTGGTGATTGCCAGGGGGAGGGAGGTTTGGGGGAAATGGAGAGGGATATAGGGAAGATTAATGGTGATGGACAGGAACTTCACTTGGTGTGGTGAACACACAATACAATTACAGGTTATGTTTTATAGAATTGTGCACCTGAAACTGTGTAATTGTTAACCAGTGTCACCACAATCAATTCAATAAAAAGGGAAAAAAAGATATCAACAGAATGACCAAAGAACGTGTGCACTGGAGGTATAATGGCAAATTACCAAGTTGGATATGCTGTGGCAAGTCTGCTTCTACAGGAAAACTTTCCTCAGAATTGTTCTTTGCACCAGACTGTGATCCAGGACTATTTTCCTGTGCTCTGAGTATATTTACTGTTTCATACATGGCTGCTCATCTGATCTCAGAATGTGCCAGGACATTTCATAAGCCCTGGGAATTCCTAAAACCAGTGTCTGTAAACAGAACCAGGACAAAGAATTGAGATTCCAATAAATGAATCTGTGCAAAGGGTTAGATGAAAGGTCTTATCTAATGGGATTTTTCCTACCCAATCCTGCCTATCCTTGATATCCCATTACTGTTACAGATGACACAGAAATACTAAACTCTAGAAACAATATTTCTAAAGTGGGTATAAATAATATAAGGAAAGGCAAATGAAAAAAAAAAAGTACTAAAGGAGCATAAGCTAAATCTAAACAGTATTTATTTACTGAAAACATGTTTTCAGTAACATGGCAATTCCTCAAATAACTTGAAAACTAGCTATGTAAGCAAAGACATACAAAAGTTCTGATTAAGCCTAGCTGGCTGGCTTAGTGGTTGAGCATCAACCTATGAACCAGGAAGTCACGGTTCGATTCCCTGTCAGGTCACATGTCTGGGTTGCGGGCTCAATCCCCAGTGTGGGGTGTGCAGGAGGCAGCCGATCAATGATTCTCTCTCATTATTGATGTTTCTGTCTCTCTCTCCCTTTCCCTTCCTCTCTGAAATCAATAAAAATATATTTGGGGGGGGGGGGTGGAGTTCTGATTGAGATAGCATAAGGTTTTCCAGAGAATACACAATAGCATATTGCTTTCACGGTGCTCTTGGAAAGATATGTTTTATCAGTGTCCAAACAAAACAGATTTGCCAAAGCATATTCAACTTGGTGCTTTGCCATTACCCATTGAAGCTCTCTTGAAGAAGAAAAAAGGAATTCTTCTGAGAAAAAAATAAATAAGACAATGAGTTACCATAAATATATACACTGAGTGGCCAGATTATTATGATCTCCGAACACATAATAATCTGGCCACTCAGTGTATATATTATTATGATCTCTGAACACATAATAATCTGGCCACTCAGTGTATATATTAGAGGTCCAGTGCATGAATTCATGCATGAGTGGGGTCCATCCAGCCTGGCCAGTGGGAGGGGACACAGACAGTTGGCTGGCCTACCTGCTGGTTGAACTCTGGGTCGAGAGGACAATTTGCATATTAGCCTTTTATTATATAGGATATACACTGAGTGGCCAGATTATTATGCGTTCAGAGATCATAATAATCTGGCCACTCAGTATATATGGTATAATATGCAAATTGACTAAACAGCAGAACAAACTTCCGGATGACCTTCTAGACAACCACGTTATGACACTGGTGCCAGGCCAGCCAAGGCAGGTGTAATGCAATTGGTTGAGGTGGGGGGAGGGAGCGGGGGGAGGGGGAGGGGGCGGGGGGGGGCCCCGCCATCACCCCATGATTGCCCTGCAAGATGCCCAGGCCACCCTCTGCATAGCAATCGATCACAGAGCCCTGGCCAGGTGGGCCAAGGCCTCCCTCTGCTGGGTGATCGATCAGAGATCCCCCACAATCTATCACCATGCAGAGGGAAGCCCAGGCCACCGGCCAGCAACACTATAGCAGGTGTACAGGGCTGACCAGCAATCGCCCTGCAGAGGAAGGCCCAGGCCAGCCAAGTGATCGCACCCCACACCTGTTGCTCACAGAGGGAGGCGACTATTGGCGGGGCAGGGGGAGGGGGTGGGGGGGAGACAGCACTATACAGATGGAAAGCAATGGTAGCAGCAGGGGCAGGGCCAGCTGCTGGCAGCAGGGGGAAGGAAAGCACTGATAGGTCCTGAATGCCAGGCAGGCCTAGGGACCCTACCTGAGGGATCTCGCATTGCGAAAAGCACAGGCCAGGCTGAGGGACACTCCCCCCCCCCCATGCACGAATTTTGTGCACTGGGCCTCTCCTCTTGTGTGTGTGTGTGTGTGTGTGTGTGTGTGTGTGTGTGTGTGTATGGATTTGCTGATGTTCAGTCAAGATCACCCTGGGTAGTTTTTTGTGAGCAAAACTTAAAGCAAGAAGAAAGAAAAAGATGAGAGTTGGGGGGATGAAAATAACAGAGTAACTAACCAGGAAGGTAGCCTGTTTGCAAATTTTCCTTTGGGATCAAATCCATGTAACTATATAAGAATCTATACTGGTAATGCTGTGCCAGGCCAACCTATAGTCAATTAAGAGATAGTTCCCGAGTTCACCAGTGAAATAACTGACATCTGTCAGAGTCAGATAGTCAGGCCAAACAAAAAGAAGAAAACAATAAAAAATGCTCTCATTTCCCAGATATCCCAGTCCAATGAAATCTAACTATGTCACTGAAATGAAAAACAGTCATTGTTTGTAAGAAAAAAAAAAATCTAACTTACTCAAAACCAAAAGATAGAGGTGAGGGGAAAATAATACAAAACACACTTAGAAATATAGAATTTATTTATATTCACCATAAGGTAGTTTCACATTCTATACATGTGACCAGGAGAGATATAATACTCCCCGAGTTTAACATAGCATTATATTGCTATCAAACATTGCTTATGCTGTGCATCAAAAAACACTTATTTTCCCCCTTTACAAAATTTAAGGCTCAGTTTCCAAAAGATCATTTTACCACTTAATTTTCTGTTTAAGAAACTGGAAAAATTCTGAAACAAACTATAAAGCGGTGGAGGGAGAGGGGCAGTGCCACACACATCACTCATTCATACTCCTGCTGAAGACGCTAAATGTGATTTTTGTTGTTACTGTAAAAAGCTCCTCCTATTTGAAATGTGTTCAGTTATAGTAGATGGGAGAGGTACTAGCTGCAGATCTTAAGCATACAAACCAGGAAAACTAAAAACGTTATCACCAGTTGCTGGCTAAATGTATTTATTGGCAACATGCCTACATATAACACACTCACACAGTAACTTGGACTCACTTCTCTTTGTTAAAGTTCACCAATGGTATTTCTCTCCTAACACACTAGTAAAAAATATTAACATTGTCTTTCGGATTGCAGGTCAGATGGCCATGGAGTTGTCCTTTCTCCTAAATACGGTCCTTCATTCTTTTCAGGAGAACATAACCATGATGGTGACCTCATCCCACTATTTAAGAGGCTTTAGGAAGAGATGAAAAATGGCATGAGAAAGCAAATCAGGAAAAAAGAGTTTAGGGTGTTTTTTGAGAATGATCATATCGATGACTCCAAACACAAAGAGTTCCAAAAGTGTTTTTGAAGTACTTTTTCCCTGTAGAAGTATTTCATTCAATGGCATAATCATCTTACAGAAGGCAGAATCTGTTTAAACTCAGTCAACTACCTTACAATTCAGGAGGCTAACAGCAACATCAAAAGGACACCGAAGGGCTCTGCCTCTGGCATAAAAAGGTAGAGACAATCATCCAGTAGAAAAGATTTACAATAAAAAAAAAAACAATAAAACAAAACAATGCCCCCCCCAACACACACACATACTCTCGCGCGACACACGCACATGCACACAAGCATGCTCCATTCTAAGGGCTAGTCTGGAAAGCCAAGCTTTATCTCCAGAGTGGCAATCAGTCTGAATCAGTGTTGAGAGATCCATTGCCAACAATCATCTTGCTGTAGGTCTTCTGCTGCTCTTCCTTGTAAGTGTCCTTCACCTTTTCTCTCTTCAGCCCACCATCCCTGGGAATAGAAAGGCAAACAAATAAAGATAATCCTAGCAATGATGTAAAAAGGGTTACCTATTAAAACATGCTGCATGGTTTGCCTTGACGCGTATGCAACTGGTCAGTAATGGGACAAAGAACACAGTTTTGGAAGCAGAATGACCCAGATTCTAATCTCTGCTTTACCACTGACCAGAAATGTGTTCCTGCGAGGGAGGGACAATCGCTCTGAGGTGTGGTTAAAATGTCTCCACTCAGCTGAAGCCAGTTTGGCTCAGTGGTAGAGCATTGGTCTGCGGACTGAAAGGTCCTGGGTTCAATTCAGGTCAAGGGCATGTACGTTGGTTGTGGGCACACCCCCCGGGGGTGTGCAACAGGTGGATATTTCTCTCTCATCAACGTTTCTAGCTCTCTATCTCTCTCCTTTCCTCTCTGTAAAAAAATCAATAAAATATATATTTTTTTTAAATGTCTCCACTCAGTTTCTTCTTTGGGGCTGTTGAACTCAATAGGTAGATTCTATATTAAAACTAGAATTGTTGACCTATCTTTTCTCCCAAGGAAATCAAAATATTGTTGTTGTTCTCATCTAATTGGCCCCTGTCTTACTAAAAAGCCATATAGACAATCCATAATAATAAAAGTATAATATCCTAATTAGATAGGATATCCTATCTATTAAGTAGGACGTCCTTCCAGACAAAGCCGGGGCTGCGATGGAAGCCGGGGTCCCGGGTCCCAGAGGAAAGCGGGTGTCGGCAGTGGGGACGAGGGGGGAGGAAGGCCTGCTCTTGCACGAATTCCGTGCATCAGGCCTCTAGTTTAAAATATACACATAAAAAATGGTCAGGGTACTGAATATGTACAAAGTAAATTTCTTAAAGGTAAATCATTACTCAAATCTAAGCCTATGTCTACAGAGTTCTATTTTCATTCACAGCACTATATTTGAAGCATGTAAAATGTTCTGTATTCCAAAATAGACTCATAATAAAACAAAATAATAGTAAGTTGCATTCAATTGGTAGGTAGTGCCTACGTAAGCAGCATTCCTTAGCTCAGAGCCTGTGAATCTTTGAACTCTCTCCAGGATGGTGAAAACGCAGTCGTGCCCAGGTTATAAGGACTCTGTGCGTGCCTTTCCTTCTTTGGAGAGCACGAGGAACAACAAACTTGTAGGAGTTGGGAGGAGACTGGAGTATCAGGGGCCACTCTCCCTCCTAATCAAATGTTTTTCATTTCAACTCCTGGGAAGGCATCAACTGAAAACTTGCTTACTTTATACTGTGCCTGTTTAACTTTAACCCAGTTAAGCACAAATGCTTACCAAGTGCTCCCTGATAATGATGAATAAATCACGGGTTAGCCAGTGAACTTAATGCCATGAAGACAGAACCTGACCTACAAGCAGACGCCTGTCTGAGCCCACTGCAATACTCTAGCCTCTGGAGTCAAACCTAAGCCAGTACCCCAGTGAGTCCTCAACTTAAGAATACACCGTGGGCCACAAATCCTCCAGGGATCAGCTGTAAAAAAAAATATTTCCATGGAAAAAAGTTATAAAGTGTCTTTAGGTCCCCAAAATGGCCCACAAAAGCCTCTTTTATCCAAATGAACTACCTCGAACCATTGCATTTATGTGAACTCTGAATGGTAAGAACTGAAGAAGGGAGGGGGAGACCCAAGAAAGGCCATTCCTTCTTTTCCGAGGTCCAAGCCAAAAATGGCAAAATATGAAGTTAGCAACGTTTGCCCTTGAGCATACTAACATTATTTTTATGTAATTCTCCTTCCCAAGCATCCAGTAAACCTCACACTGCCCTAAGCACCCAGCTGTGACTTGTGACCCCTATAGACTTCGAAGTTGTGCCAGTTCCCCTTTGCAATGACAGTAGATGTTGGTTCCTAAGGCAGGCAGCAGCCATATTTAATATCCAGTTTAAGATGATAACTAAGTTTTCATTTAATCTAGGAGAAAATTGATCCAGATATACTAATTTAGGCCTATTAGATAGATGACAGATACATCTGGAAATGTAGTGAGTCTATTTTCTTTTCAAAGAAGAGGCTAGGTAATTAAAATAACCCTTTATTATAAAATTGCTATAGCCTGATAAAAGAAAATTGAAAAATTCTGAGCATCATTTCCAACAGATTTCATTTAAGCCAATTTGATGGGAGTCTGTCCCGGGGCTGACTTCCTTGGCTGTTTTTGTCTCAAAAAGCTTGTTGCTTTCTTTCCTTCCTGAGGCTAGTGAGCCAAGGCTCTAAGCTTTTCTTAATGGCTTCAGGACAGGAGTAGGGCTGGGATGTCAAGTAAGAGGAAAGGAAAAAAGTTCAGAAAACAATGAACAAGGAAGTCAGTTAGTTATACAATGAAATGAACCCTTGGGGCATTTGTAAATTAAATCATTGTAAACTAGAGCATTGGGAAGTCTGTCCCTTCATGATGTTTCATTTATTCCCACTTAGATATCGTAATACAAATGTTAGTCTTAACCCATCTTAGCCGTAGGGCCAGTCAGTTGCCTTGAATTAAGAAATCAAACTCTGACCAGCTGGTGAGGCTCCATGGTTGAGCTTCCATTCATGAACCAGGAGGTCACAGTTTGATTCCTGGCTGGGACACATGCCTGGGTTTCAGGCTCTAACCCCAGTTCGGGCATGCAGGAGGCAGCTGTCGATGTGTATCTCTTATCATTGATGCTTCTATCTCTCTCTCCCACTCCCTAAAATCAATAAAACATTAAAGAAAAAAATAACAACAAAAAACACCTCATACTGGGTGGTCAGCCAGGCATTTAATCAGACACCAGATAAGGCTTCAGCTATCTTGATCGCCCATCAACCTTCCAAGCTTTATCAACTCATTATCAATCTTCCAACTCATTATCAGCATAATGAGTTTTCACTGTAAAAATTAGTGGATTGTTAATTAGCATAATTAGTGGCATGTCCAACTTCTAGTCTGTGCTCTAAGGACATGGATGTGTCATGTTCTTCTAGCTTTAGTTCCTCCCTGCTAGCCATCTGCTGAACACACTGAACAGAGCTGGGCAACCATAAAGTACAAGTGCATTGAGGATGGTAGAGTAACAGCACGAGCTGGAAGGGAGAAACTTCTATCTTATTTAAGCTACTGTTACATCGTATGAACCCCTGTCACTGTCAGCTAAACCTCCAGCTAACTCTCATAATAAATAACATTATTGAAGTGTTTTTAATTTTTAAAAAAAGTGGTAGTACTTCTGAAAAATTTCTTACCAGGGAAGCTCAGTCAATCCTCCTTGTCTCGCAATAGCAGACTTAACCCTATTAGCAAACTGGACTGCATCTTCTCCTTCCTGGGGGGAAAAAAATTACAAGTATATCCTGGGTACACAGTTTTCAAACCATGCCTTAAAATGTCTCAAAATAATTTAGATTTATTTTAAAATATGACTCACATTTTAGCTCAAATATGTTTGAGTCTCAATCACAGCAAACTATCATTCATTTTATTAAGAAAATGCAGTGCTGTGTTGTTTCACTTTTTTAACCAGGTGTACATTTATTATGCTCTCTATTAGTCTTATCCAAGATACACCATTCCATAATACCTGTAAGCCCAATAAACTAACAGCAATTATAAAAATTATTAAGGAGCCCTTACGGTTTGACTCAGTGGATAGAGTGTCAGCCTGCAGACTGAGAGGTCTCAGGTTCAATTCCAGTCACGGGCATGTACCTTGGTTGCAGGCACAGCCCCAGTAGGAGGTGTGCAGGAGGCAGCTGATCAATGTTTCTCTCTCATCAATGTTTCTAACTCTCTGCCCCTCTCCCTTCCTTTCTGTAAAAAATCAATAAAGTATATATAGATATATATATATTTTTAAATTATTATGGAAAACAGTCTCTGATTATAAAATGGCCTGATTTTTTAAAGACTTTTGCAATTTACTTATATACATATATTTACATGTTATCAATTTTTAGAAAAAGAGGAAGGGAGAAAGAGAGGAGTGGGGAAAACAGAAAAAGGAAAGAGAAAAACATTAGTCTGCTGCCTCCTGCACACCCATTACTGGGGATCAAGCCAGCAACCTGAGCATGTGCCCTGACCGGAATCTAGGCGGCAATCTTTTGGACACAGATGATACCCAACCAATTGAGCCACACCCACCAAAGCCAAAAGAACTACATTTTTTTTTTTAAATGACTCATTTTCCTGAGAAAGCAAAAAGGCAGACCAAATCTAGCTGATGTGAGAAAAGGAAAACATCCACGTTTTCAGGTAAAGGTTTTCTCATTTATCTAATTAAAGCCCCAAAGACCAGCTATTGTTTTCTATGGCCTACCTCTCTCGTCATGGGAGGCAGGTACCACACATCACAGACGATGGCCCAGCTGGTCATCATTCGAAGCAGGTAGCTCACCATGTTGTATTTACTACTATTCCAAAAGGCATCACCAAACTGAGGGTTATACTGAGAGAAAGGAGAGAAAACACATCATTTTATCAGTTATGAATTGAGTGCTGGCTTCTCTTACCCAAGTCAATGCTTTCAAGGTGGCAGACCTAACCTCTGTAAGATTCAAAAAAAGAGAGCAGTTTCTTTGCTTGACAGGAATGATCAAGGAAGTAAACCAGCCCAGCAAACTCCTCTGACCACAGCCCGGAGCACTGCAACAAGAGGCTGATTGACTCTTTTTTATTTTTAAGAGTTTATTTGAGCCAGAGTGCTGACATATGCCAGGTACATGACCCTTAAATGTCTGTCGCCCCACTTAACTGGAAGATGGGTGAAAATAGGGACAATATCTGTTTTGCTCATCACTGACTATGTGCTCAGTATTGAGGCTTTGGCCTGGTACATATCCTATCCATATCCATAGGGAGAGAATGATCAAGCAAATGGGGCAAAATGTAAACAGCTGGTGAATCTGAGTAAAGCAAATACAACTGCTCCTTATTATCACCAATTTTTAATTATCAAGTAACTAAGTGCCCTTTTCTGAAGGCAAGAGGGGAATTCGTTTTACCTTAATTGCAACTGGATATATGGTTCCTCCAATTTCAAAGCTTCCCTTTTTAAACATCATTACTGAAGTATTGTTGATGCAAGTTCCTGCAGGAAAATGGGGAAGGGAGGGTTGTTAAAAGGAATTACTTTTATATAAAATAATTTAAATTACTCAAATCATATAAAAATTGCAGACATTTTACTACCATTTCACAAATTGATTCCTGCTTAAATAGTAATTTGATAGTTCCAAGCAGGTCTCATGAGAAATTTTTTTCTTTATTATTGAATATTTTAGAGATACAACTTCTTCACAACAGGTAATAATTTCAACACAGGACCTTGGAAAAGTTATAGACAATACCTTCCTAAGTTCATTTCCCAGAAATAACTTTTAAGATGAAAAAGGTATGACTTCCAGCAAATCTCAAAAGAAAGCAGGGAATTACTAGTTCCGAGAAAGCCATCCGTGCCCATAGGACAGCAGATGTAGGCTAAAAATGCCAATTCCAGAACAATTCAAGTCCTCATACATTTTTGGTGCTTGTTATCAACTATAACTTGGTCGGCAGTCTTTCTCTTACCTTCAGGAAAGATTAATATGGGTAATTTTTTCTTATCAGCGATGTGTTCTCGTAGTCTGTGAAGAAAAATAAAAGATCAAAATTCTATCTATAAACAGAGACAGATGGAAATCCTCTTTGATATTCTCTATACTCTACTATCACAAATATATGGAAAAGCAATAAGGAGAAAAGAAACAAGATATAAGTCAAGAAAATAAACTCAAGTGGGTCCCTTTCTAAAAAAAAAAAAAAAAAAAAAAGTGTAAAGATAGCTGCACTAATTCAATTTCCTCTCATCTCAAAGTGAGTGATTGGCAGTGTCTTCTGTCCACTCTAAAAACAGATGTTGGGCATACATATGACAGGAGCTCTGGAGTCCCTATCATGAGCTTTATGCCCTTTCTTCTATACCTTTATTACTCCATCTGAAAAATGAGGATATTGATTGCTGGACCGGTCTACCTATGGCCATTAAGTGTAAAACATTCCTTAAAGGGGTCAGCTGAACTTTCCTAGGAAATATGCATGATAATAAAGCCTGTACATTCTTCCAGGCTTAGGTTCTGTCCTCCCTGTAGCCAGCCCTGGCTCCTCAGAAGCTAGTAAGGCTGAAATAGGGAGATTACCGCTGCCAGAGTGGCTCACGACTAGATAATCTCCCATTGCTATCCCCCACCTAGAAGGTGGTTATCCTAACATATTTTAATAAGTTCTTTTCATTTTATCCTTAAGAGATGGCTCACCTTCATGCTTATAGAAGCAATGACCAGAGTGCCTCAGTTAAATGCCTCACGCAAAAAAGTGTTTCCCAAAAAAGGTTTCTGGTAGCTCATCTCTATCCCAAGTCCCAGAGGGACTTAGCCTGTTTCATAAAGAGATTAGCTCTGTCTGTCTCCAGGTAGATTTAAGTGGTAACAGTCTTCTAGCAAACATCAACCTATTAATTGATTGATGTAATCTATTAATTCACCAGTTACAAATTATTTAACTTTGAAAATTCAGTAATTGGACTATACCTAAATCACCACAACATAAACTGGTGGGATTTCTAATCTCATCATATGCCCCACTAAATTCCTGCAGAATTAAAACTTTTAAACATCTAGCTAAGACAGGAGATGTAACCAGAAAAAGCCTACCATAAATAGAGCTCCATGTTTTAGCTTTAATCTTAGCACTGTTCTGCCCTCTTGGGCATGAAGGCCAAGATTTATCAGATTTTATGCTATGCCAATGGGTGGTGAGTAATATCACTGCTTACCTCTTAATAACCAGGTGTCGATCCCTCATTTCTGAGCGTTCAAACCAGACATGTGGGCAAGCCTTAACCATAGCTCTCTGAATAATTCCCATCAATCCACCATGAACCTGGCCAACCTAGAAATAACATCAGAAAGAGAAAAAATATAAATGTAAAGGCAGTTATTCAAAGAAAGCTCGCACTCGCGCACGTGTGTGTGTGTGAGTGTGTGTGTGTGTGTGTGTGTGTGTGTGTGTGTGTGTGTGTGTGTTTAAGTAGGAGTAAGTTCCTATTCCCCAGTAGAAAAGATCAATCTTCTTCTACTGACTAAAGTTATTAGCCTATACAAAGGACATGAATGGCCAAATATAAACAAAAGGTGTTCTTTAGTGGCACCTTTGAATTTTAAGCTATGTTGATATAATAACTATACTATAGGTTTAAAAAGTAGAGTAGTCAAGATAAGAGAAATTCAAATTAAAACTACACTGAAACACCATTCCTCACCTACCAGATTGAAAAAGAACCGTTTGACAATGTACTCTAAATCAAGGCTATGGGAAGTGGTACTCTCATACATTGCTTGGGCTGGGGAGACAATAACACCCATGGAAGGAAATTTTGCAATATCTTATCAAAACTGCATATAAATTTATCCTCCAACTCAATAATTCTACTTCTAGAAACTTATCCTGAAGATAGATCATTTCACTCCAACAAAATGAAAATACATGTGCACAAGGTTTAAGTGGCTTCCTTCAAATGCCTCCCCAGAAAAGTACACCTGATGAAGTACTACTATGCATATGTGACAAGAACAAGGTTGAACTCTATAACTGATAAATGATTTCCAGGAGACACTGTTAAATGGAAAAAAAGCAAGCTGCAAAGAGCCAATATAGTATAACACTTTTTGTATGAGGCAGAAAAGGAAATATGAATATCTATTTGTTTACCTCTACAAAAATGAAGAATAACCAAAAATAATGAAATTGGAATCTTACAAGGGTAGGAAGAAATGGGGTAGAATGGAAGGAATGGTTTAAACAAAAATGTTTTGACATTTGGAAACATATTAATGTCTTACATATTCAAAAGTTAAATCAACAAGGATGGGGCTAGTAAACTGAGAGCAAATGAACCCAGCTGTGTGCTTTAAGTGAATAAAAGAACAATGCTGAAGCAAGGTGGAGGGGAAGAGTGCATGGGAATCCAATAAATTTATAAAGACAGTATTTGACCACACACTCTCATCTTGGATGGGGTACCGAGAACTGCAAAATACCCTGAATTATTCTTACATTTGTTTCTCGTAGTAAAACAGGTGAAGCAATTCTGAAACAATTTTGGATGTATTATAGAATTGAGAAAATGAGTTGATATTTTTGGGAAACAGAACATTCACAGTGAAAAAAGGAAGATAAAACATGGATTGGGGAATGCAATGAAGAACCCTATAAATTGGATAAATTTGTATAAACTCATATATCTAATATTATTATATCAATTTTTAAAATAACATTATGAATTTTAAATATAAATATATTAAAATATAAATACTTTACATGCATTTTTATAAAGAAAGCCAATGTATGAGAATGCAAATAATAAAGCAAATGGGTCAAATATTACCAATACATAAATGTGGATAAAGAACACATGGATGTTGTATGTAACATTTTTATTATTTCAACTTCTATTTAAGTTTGGAAAATATTTCTAAATTAAAAAAAAAAGTAGAGATCTTTGCTTAGGAGGGAAAAAAAAACCTTTGAAAAGCCACTGAGATGGGATCTTGAACATTCTTCAAATATATAGTTTGTGTTTAGCTAAAAGAAACCAAATATGACCTCTGGAAGGTAGCTGTAGTTTCCTTCCCTCCATTCCCCCCCCTTCCCCCACCTCTGATTGAAATCCAAATGGCTTTACTATCACTCAACACATTAGAAAGTTCATAAGTACTATGCTTTTCTAAACCTTGACTAATATTGTGATTGCAACTATACATGACCAAAAAGCACAGAAAATGCCAACAAAATTCTGAGGCCTTCAGTCACAAATGAGCTATGCTCAACACTTGTTGACAAGGACACTGAATGACTATGGTCTCAGAAACACAAAACCATGATTTGGTAAGTTGGTTAAAATGCCTGAACCTCTGCTTTCTTATCTATAACAAAATGTCAACTCTCACTTAACTGAATTACAGGGAAGGTCAAATATAATAGATGTGAAAGTGCCTATCCGTATAAATGCAAGGAATTATTACAGACTCCCAGAACTACTATGCTAATGGGGGTGGGGGTGGGGGGGCACGTCTATCAAGGGTTGTTAACTGGAGGCTCCTTGGAAGGGCTTTCTGGAGATCACAGACATCTTGAAATTAGACACAGAATTATGTTTGTATGATGCACAGGTATGTTGTTGTTGTGATTTGTTGATTTTTCCTTAAAAAATTATATAACTATTAACTGATTCCTAACATAAAAAAGGTTAAGAAGTAATAATTCCCAAAAGTCTTTGCAGAAAGTTGGTTAATGCTCCCTTAGATTCAGAGAGAACCCAATGACTTAGAGAAATTTAGCAATGTGTTACATATATCTGAAATCCTATTTTAGACAGATTAAAATACCTAGCAGTAAGTGAGGAGTTTTCACAAAGGCCTTCAAAACCCCCTCAGTGATTGTATAACCTGTGTTCAGTCAAATACCACACATGTGCCAAACTCCCACTCTCCTACCTACAGCAGACAATGAATAGTGGCTTTCTTCAAATGCATCCCCAGAAAAGCACATCAACCATGACTGTCAATCACTGGAGCTGAGAAGTAAAAAAAAAATCCACGTGCTCTTCCTGAAGCCCAAGCCACCACCACTAAGGGATATGAAAAGAGGACTCCCCAAGACTGTGGGTTATGGGATTTGTGTAGGGTTGTCTTTTATTTTAGGGCTACAGACAAGAACTGAAAAAGACAATGTGGTATAAATATTTGCCTTTCTCGTTTAATCTTATTATTAAAGGGATTGTTTGTTTGTTTATTTGTTTGCTTGTTTGTTTTAAATTGCATACGACTCCCTGAAGGAAGGCAGAACTAGGTAGGGGATTTTCACAGATCTAAGGAAGAAGACTTTAATCTCTGCAAGTGTTATTAAACATAGCAGGGATTTTAGAAGCAAGATGGAATCTGATAGTCTATCCATCTTAATGTGTCTGCATTTCAGTAAGTTAAATTTTTATTGCCTTAAATATAATGTTTTTTTCTTTTTCTTACACTCTATGTTCATGTAAATAATGTACATAACATAAGCTACAGTAGTAGAACCCAGTCACTTTCTAATATAAAACTTTCTGATTTGTGCCCAAGTAAATTTAAAATTTGAGCAAGCCACGAAACATGGAACTACATGAAATACCAATAAGCTGCTCTTACCATAGCATAGCATCCATCCGTTGTTAAGATCAAAACATCTATTGGGGAGGTGTGGTTGGCAACACAAATGCCTCCCTTCTGGGGTCTGTGCTCCCTGCAATCACAAACAATGGTAAATACTAAACCTTGAAATATGGCCACTATTAGCAGAACAGCTATTCATTTTTTTTAAAGTCCATTAAAAAAATAAAGTTCGTAGTATATGGGCCCACCTTAAACAGGTTATCTCTGGCGGTCTGATTTAACAGCAAGTGAAATAAGAGTATAGCAAAAGGAACCCCTGACTTTCCCTTGATATATTTTTATGTTATTTTTTTTTAATGACCAGATTTTCCTTTTATGATGAAAATATTATTTTAAAATATTAGACTGAATTACAAAGATTCTACAATGTTAATAAATTTTGTGGTAAGTTTCATTTATTTTATCAAAAGCATTTTCCTGTTATTTCCATCTCCATAGCATCACTTTTAGAGCCTTCACAGTGATCCACAGAGTACAATTCCTATTGGTTCCTTTCCACCTTCTATCCCCCTAAAACAGAAGTTGGCAAACTTTTCTTATCACAGGCCAGAGAGTAAATACTTAAAGCTTTGCAAGCCAGGAAATCTCTGTCAAAACTATAGGACTTTGCTGTTTTGACGCAGGCAAACACAGATAAGCTGTAAATGAAAGAGCATGGCAGTGTGCCACTAAAATTTTATTTACAGAAAACAGATGGTGGGACACATTTGGCCTACGGGCCCATTGCTTAGTTTGTTGACCTCTGTCTTAGAGTTCAACCAGTACTGGACACTAATTAAGCAAAGCAATTTTCTTTGGTTCTATACAGAGAAGAAAGGGAACCAAATGCATAACAACTTTAGCATATTTTCCTTTAAATGAGAAGCAATTCTATAAAAAGTTATGAATTCCTCTCTATGTAATTAAAGCACCTTTCCTGTGGAAGGTATCTCCTCTGCTCACATTTCTTCCAAAGCATTTTCTCTTACTCCTCACCCCAGAACTCACAACCCAATTACAAAATCACATCATTTTAGAAATTGAAGGGACCTTTTATGGTGGTAGCACATGGGGAAGCCAAATAGTTAAGATGCTTCCCTTTCACAAGTGAAATGGAAGGATACAGTCACTAAAATATTAGAGGCTTGTCCTAGAACTTTTAAAACTTTTAAAAGTTTTAAACATGTTAAAGGTAAGAAAAAATAAAGTTGAGTTAAGTTAGCAATCAAAATTCCTCTTATTTAGCTTATAACTTCACTTAGCTACTGTTATCCTCTACAACTAAGGGTAAGGGAAGCAGAATGCTGGGGTCCATGTTAAGGCTCAGGTATGGAATTTTAGAAGGGGAAGGGGTGAGAACACAGACTAGGCCTCCAGATTCCAAGTCTGGTCCTTCCTTCAACCACACTAAAGGCCTGTTACCTTCACCACTGTTTAAGTCAGACAGACCTCACTCAAAATCTGACCGCCACTTACTGTGCAGCCCCAGACAACCAAACCCAGAGCCCCCGTTTCTTCACCTGTCAAACAAGATAACAGCGCCTCTCAGAGGGAAGACCTCAAGAAGGACAGGCCTGCCCTGCTCACCACAAATGCCCAATGACCGAATGTCATTACATGATTATTGGAATGTCTCTTCCGCACACGGATTGCTTTTTTTAAAGAGTTTTGTGTGCGGTTATGTCTCTGCCACTCTAAGACGTAGGATGAACACACAGGAAGTCATCTCATTTCACCTGTCCATCACGCACTGACCTGACCTAGAGAAAGCCAGGCCTGAGGCCAGCAGACACTCACCTGTTGTGATAATGAATGGTCCCTGAGAGGGCGCGCACACAGATCCGGCAGCAGGTCAGATGAACCAGCTCACTTAGCCAGTTTTTGAAGCTGAAGGAAAGGAAAAACATTTTATCGTACAGTTCTGCACACTTCTAGGAAATAATACAATAACAGCTTCAATGTGCTTCTTTACAGCAGCAGCCTGTGCTCTGAAACACACGCACAATTCAACTCTCATAGTCTCACTGAGGCCCATAGGATAAAATGCTAAAGGAAAATAGCCCCCTCCCGACTTGATGTTCCCCATAAGTTTCTCATCAAAATAAGCTGAAGCTTCTTTGGTCTCAGCCTTCTGAGGCTGACAATATTAGAAGACTCTCACTTTCCTTACATTCCTCAGTCATTTTCTTTCTTCTCTTTGTTTCCCCTTTGAAAATACAATTTCTTGGGACTGATGTGAAAGTGCGTTTAAGAATCAAATCAAGAAAAGGAAGTAAGCAGGATTTTAACAAGTGTATTAAGGCCATAAATCTGATACTGTACATAGGAATTCAACAAATATTCTCTTTGTGGACATAGCTAAGAAGAGGACAATCCTATTTATGGCTGGTGAAAGGAAACGTCACCTGCTGTCTGGAAGCTGCCCAACCATTGTAGTTCCAATTACCAAAAAGCTGATTCCAATGAAAGCCAAGGTAACCCTGAAAAAGAAAAAGGGATGCAAAAGTTTAGTTGAATGGTAGGGGTAACGAAAATAACCTGAAAGTTCACAAACAATAAAATTGTGGATAAGTTGTGAAGCATCCATGCTATGGGTTATGGTGCAGACATAAAAACTGGGTAAATCTATAGATTCTGACATGGAAGAATGGTCCTTGATACATTTTGAGAGCAAAAAAAGAGCAAAGTTTCCAAACAATGTATGGAAAACGATGACATTTTTGAAATAACTGCAGGCATATATATATCATCTACAATACTCACAGAAGGCCTGGAAATCAATTCACAAACCCTCAAGTTCAATCTACACAATCAACAGAGTGTCAAGTGGGCTAGTGAAGGGAACAAATTAAAAGTCTTGACCATCTACTTTATTATTTTAAGTTTTAAATTACTCTGAATTATTTTAAATTAATACATAGTGACTTCGATACAAAATAGTTTTATGTTGTATAAAGGAGTCATTTCAGGTTGAAAGTAGTCATCATGTTTTGTCCAGGGTACTTTGGTGTGGTGTGAATAGGTTGTGAAAGAAAATATCTTGCAAAGGTCTGAAAATCACTTTCCTGGATTTTTTAATGACAGGTGAGCAAAAGGATACGATTCAAAATTTTCTTAAAGGTATTTAAAATTTATAACAGATGGCAAAATAAGTTATACTTACAGGCTCATTCATAATAAGAACTCCAATTATATACCCCTCAACGCAAACCTAGTGGCTGTTCCTTTGGACAGTTCAAGAGAACGTGAAAGTTAGGGAACAAGATGACTGACAATATTTTAAATCTCCACACAGATGCTTTCTCATTTTTGAAAAGTGCTTTTAATATATATTTCAATAACTTCGAAAATAACGTCATTTTAGAAATTAAATAAAATTACTCAAAAAGAAAAAGTTGAGTTTTATAATCTTTCAGAATAAATGGGTTTCCTCATAAACATCTTACAAGGGTATTAAAGTCTTGGTTTAACACTTTTTGTTGTTGTTGTTGCTATTCATCTTCACAAGAGGATATTTTTCCATTGATTTTTAAAGAAAGTGGAGCCCAGCCATCGTGGCTCAGTGGTTGAGTGTTGACCTATGAAACAGAAGGTCACTGTTTGATTCTCAGTCAGGTCAAATGCCTGGGTTGCTGACTTGATCCCTAGTGTGAGGTATGCAAGAGGCAGCCAATCAATGAGTCTCTCTCATTATTGATGTTTCCATCTCTCTCTCTCTCCCTTTCCCTTCCTCTCTGAAATTAACAAAAATATATTTAAAATAAATAAAAATAAATAAAGATAATGGAAAGGAGAGGGAGAGATAGACAGGAAAACATCAAGATACATTAATTGGTTGCCTCACGCACAAGCTCCTAGGATGAGCCTGCAACCAATATAACTCGCCCTTGACCAAGAATCAAACCTGGGACACTTCAGTTCACAGGCTGAGCTCTATCCACTCAAACTGGCTAGGGTAATTTAATACTTTTTGACACAGCAAAGGGTCAAATTAAGTTTCCTGTAGTTGCCATATTTTCATATCAGTCACTGATGATAACTAAATATCTATTTTAATCTTAACCATCAATTATGCAAAAGTTTTAAAATGTTTTGCCACCTTGCTCTAATGAGAATCACTTGTTCCTACACATTAAATCAGAAAGGGTGACTTTTCAACAATTTTGTTCCAAACCATTGAAGGTTTTTGTCTAGACTAACAAGCCAGAAAATTCTGTTTTCCTGTTTAAATGAGTAAACAGGAGGATTCTCTTAGATGACAACGAAGTTTTCAGCCACAATCTGTTTATGAGATTTTGTTAAGAGCTACAATTCACATATCATAACATCCACCCATCTAAAATGTACAATCCAATTGTTTTTAGCATATTCACAGGGTTGTACAAACACCAACAATCATTTTTAGCACAATCTGGTTGTTGTTTTTAATGCTTACTTTATAGCAATTCCTTCTTTTAAACACCAGTTTTAAAGCAATTCTTTCATAGTGAAGAGTATGTAATAAGAATGGGAATCTTAATTCTGTCATTTCTTCTTGTTCTTGGATGTTTACATTACAGGATTATCTTAAGCCTGGTCTCTTTGTAAAAATCTTTTATGGCCAGAACTGGTTTGGCTCAGTGGATGGAGCGTCATCCTTCGGACTGAAAGGTCCCAGGTTCAATTCCGGTCAAGGATATGTACCTTGGTTGCAGGCACATCCCCAGTAGGGAGTGTGCAGGAGGCAGCTGATCGATGTTTCTCTCTCATCGATGTTTCTAACTGTCTATCCCTCTCCCTTCCTCTCTGTAAAAATTCAATAAAATACATATATCTTTAAAAAGAATATTTTATGTCACTTATCTATTTTGTGAGCATTACTTTAATTTAAACTAGATAATAAAATCATAACACAATTTGCTGGACGCCCAAGCAGGTGAAAGCTAACCAACAAATAAGGGAATCTCAAGACTCTATTGCAAAATCCTCCCATTTTTTCAATGGCTGCCTGGGATACGGTGCCTGACCAATGGACCAAGTGAAGATGGAAGAGCTTATCTGTATAATCAACTTCACTGAAGTTTCATTTCTTTTTAAAAATAAAAACAATAAATGGAAGCTTTAATTATAATAAACTAGAAACTTCCAATAAATAAAAGCTCAATTATTGCCTTCCATAGCATGCCAAATAGGTAGCCTTGGACATCCCCAAGTACATGAAGGCTATACTGGCTTAAGGTTCAAACAAAAGTGTATGTGAAACCCAGCTCAAGTGTGGAGTGTCTCAGTTGGTTGAGTGTCATCCTGTGTACCAAAACATTGCAAGGGCACATACCTGAGTTTAATTCCTGATTGGGACACATACAAAAGACAACCAATCAATGTTTCTCTCTCTCTCTCGCTCTCTCGCTCTCTTTCTCTCTCTCTCTCTCTCTCTCTCCCTCCCTCCATCCCTTTCCTTAGCATGTCCTCAGATGAGAATTTAAAACAAGAACAGATGTGTGTGTGTAAAACCCTGAATTTCACTTTGTTATTAGAGTTGAAATGATTCCCAAAAGACATTAACATGCCCCCAATAACTGGCAACATGAGCACAGAAAAAGCAGAACGAGTTTCTTAGAAATGTGCCTTTGCTTACACTTAATCTTTTCCCTTGTAATAAATCTGAATGAGGCAAGTATAGGCCACCCTAGGGATGGTAAAGAGGTTTCATTATGTACCAATTTTTGTTGGCTGATAACGACTGCTTGGAAAACTCTATTGAGAGGATGCCAAGGCCATGCCCAAGGGAAATGAAGCAAGCCAAAAAACAGCAATGTATGACTGATACACATGCACCCTACCTGCCACCACCATACTAAACAAACCTTAGTCACCTGCACTTCACCCAATGCCCAGTGTTACCTCTTCTACTCTAGTTCCACACTATGTTCCAGTCAGTACCGCCTCATCAGGTGGCACTCAAACTTAGAACCAGAGGAGACCCAGAAGTGGAACTTTTTTTTTTTTTTTTTTACAGAGAGGAAAGGAGAGAGATAGAGAGTTAGAAACATCAATAATAGAGAGTCATCAATCAGTTGCCTCCTGCATGTCCCCTACTGGGGATGTGCCCACAACCAAGGTACATGCCCTTAACCGGAACCAAACCCAGGACCCTTCAGTCCGCAGGCTGATGCTCTATCCACTGAGCCAAACCGGATTTGGCCAGAAGTGGAACTTTTAATAAGAAAAGTGAGTGATAATAAATAGATGTGGGTGGAACATATTCTCTCTACTGAATGGCTCTCTTCCATGTGGTAACCACTCTCAAAAATGTTTCCTCTCAAAGGCAGCTATGAACCACTACAGACCAGCAGAGACAGAGTTTGTTTGACACACAGTGAGTGTGAAACTGTAAAATCTCTCTCTTTTTTTTTTTTCCTCATTTCCCTTTTCTATTCATCAAATTATCTATGACTGAAAGTGTAACATGGATCCAGGCTATATATTAGATTCTGAATACACATCTTAATTTTTATTTTTGGGGGAGGGAAGAGGAGGAGATGTGAAAGGAGAATAGATACTTAACACATTCCTATGGAGGTCACATTTGATGGTGTTTTCTTAAGTGGGAAGGAGTGAGACTGGTACCATATACTCACATGTGACCATTACATATATGACTTAAAGAAAGCTGAACCAATTATACCATCAAACCCCTGGGCAGGAGACCTACCTCAGAGGTAATAGGACACAGTAGCGTATTATGACGCCCAGCACCCACACCATGGTGAGCCGCAGACTGATGTACTGGAAATTTATATTGGTCCTTGTGAGGAGATTCCATGACACTAGCTCCTCTGAGGAGAACCTCTGGGTCACTTCATCTTCCACAATGGCTTCCAATCCCTTCTTGGAGAAATAAAACGCGTCAGACAGCTCAAAGTCCCTTCCTCGTAGACCTTTTTCCATGGGTGACTTATCTCTTTGGATAATACCTTAAAAGAAAGCATCAGGACATAAGGAAATGCCATAGGACATATTAAAAACATGGCCAAAGGGCCAACTGTGCACAAGACAAATAAATTTAACAGATAATATGGCAGATTTCATATATACAAGACAAGCAACTGCAGTGGGAGAAGAGGTGAAATCACCAAGTCTACATGAAATGGCCTTTACCCAAGGATTTCAATTTACAAAGAGGAATCTTGGTCCTCAGTAGCTTTCTTGCTTGCATTTCCTCCCCTCACACCATTCGTGAAAGAACTCACAGAAGCAAACTCGCCCCATGTATAGATCAAGACAATAAAAATAAAGACTTCTGTTCTCCCCTGATAAAAAAAAAAAAAAACCATGAAGCAAAAAATCAAAGCAAAATGGTAAAAGGTATTTAAAGGCATCGGTTGATGTTTTTAATATGTGAAAATTATTTTATAAGAAAAGCACAGGTTGCTACAGAAAAGTAAGCAAAGTTCATGAACTGAATTTACAGAAACAACATAGTTAATAAATATGTAAAAACTTATAGTAATCAAAGAAAGGTGACTTAGACTGGCCTATTTATATTATTAAATCAGCAACATTTTTAGTGATAAATTTCAAAGATCAAAATAATATAGGTATTCTCATACTCAATTTGTATTGAGTATGGAACTGGTAGCAACTTTGTCAAAATCTGTTTGACAAGAAGAGACTAAAAAAATAGTTTTGCTGATAATTCAATAATTCCAATTCTAAGAATCTATCATAAAATATAATCAGAATGGTAGGCCAGAGCATTTTCCATTATAATCAATCCAGACGATGAGCTAGAATGCATCCATTAATAAATATGCTAACATTAAGTGAAAAAAAGGCAAGATCTCTACAAAACATATATACACTGAAAAAATGTTAAGAAGGACATTAAGAAGTTATCTTGGACAATAAGATTGGAGTTTTCCTCTTTATACTGTTACTAGAGGCCTGGTGCATAAAATTTGTGCATGGGTAGGATCCCTAAGCCTGGCCAGCAATCAGGGCCAATTGGGGCCTTCCAGCTGCCAATGAAGGCCTCCCTTCCCCAGCTGCCAGCTGCTGGCTGGAGTCTTCTCTCATTCTGCACCACCCCCTGGTGGTCAGTGCATGTCATAGCAAGTGATCAAACTCCCGGTCTCCCAGTCCAACTCTCGAGGGAACACTTTGCATATTAGCCTTTTATATGTATAGATTGCACTTTCCATAAGGAAAATAATTCAAAAGTTTTTTTCTAGTAGCAGAAATATGTGAATTGAAAAATGACTACTACTATTCAGTTCTAACTACTAAAAAAGAAAAATTGAAGGGGACGTCTTTGAAGAATAAAGAGTAGCTATGTACACAATGACATAACTATCTATTTGTCTCTCTGAAGTGTATCACAAAGAAAGAAATGTATTTCCTACATCAGAAAAGTCTCTTTTTTTTTGGGGGGGGGGGGGGGGGGGGGAAGGGGAGAAGAGTGAAGATTAAAGTGTTCAATTCCCTGAAAAAGACCTCCTTTGATTTTTCTCACTTTCCAGTTCCCTAGGAAATCAATGAGGAAAGTGACGAGTACAATATTACCTATCCTCTGGAGAACTTGTATGTAGTGGGAGCTGTAATGTATTGGGTTTTTTGAAGGAACAGCAGCATAATGCACTAGAGTAAAAAGTAATGAAGACCTGACATCCAAAGTCAAGTGCTGTTTAGGACAACAACCAGCTCTATGACTGTGATTGATAGGTAAATCACCTAATTTGGTGTCCTCCTCTATAAAATGGGGGTGGGGGGACCTCTAGTTTCTCACATGGTTAAAGTTTTGTGACTTTACTTTTGAGTTCATGGAGTGGTTTTGCTTTGTTTGTTTTTGCCCACATGTAGTTCTTCGTCTTAAGAATTAGCATAATAAACCAAGTTCTTGATGGTTATTAGACTATCTTTTTCAGCAGTCAACTCTGAAGTGATTTAACCTTTCTCCACTATCTCTGAAAATTAGTATCAGAGAGTGTCCCAAGATAGTGTCACTACTGAACTGCCCTCTTACTCTTAGGCACTGCAGTACAAACCAGGTTACTCAATTCCAACTAATGGCACAAATTTAGCAGTGCAAGAGTTTCATTATTTAGCAATATATTGAATTTTTTTTTTTAAGTCTAGAGGACGAAGAAAGAACAGGTTATTCAGCAAATCCTTGGATGAAACACACTAGAGACAGTGGACAGCCCTTCTAAAAATAACCTTTTCCAGAGGGGCTAGAGATAAGAAGGCAAGTTCAAGGTGGCTCATATTATTTAGCTGAGCCAAGAGAGATCCGAAGCCAGGTCCCTAGTCCCTAGCCGTGATGTACAATATTTTCTCTGTCCCCTGACCTACTTTAATCTGTGTAACTCAAATAAAATATAACTCAATTTTATATTTTCATTAAGCCTCTTTCAAAAGTATGTGGGTAACTGTAATGCATCTAATTGGCAATTAATTGATTTCCAAAATATGTTAAGACATACAAAAAAATTAAAAGGGAAAAGTCAAAAAAAAAAAACAGTAAAAATTTTAGCTAAGAATATGGCAAGTAAATCACAAAAAGAGTAAGCTTTAATGACTAAACATTTCAAAGATGTTCAAATTCATTATGATTAGAGAACTGCAAACTAAAACCACAATTCCATGCCCATAAGGATTGATTTAAAAAAAATTTTTAATTGAATAATATCAATGGGAATGTAATTAGTACAACCACACTGAGAAATGACTTAGCTCCATCTGGTAAGATATTCATAGCCTAAACCCAGCAATTACACTCCCAGGAAGATTTTTGTTTAATAATTTCAAATATCAGAAAAGTTGCAAAAACAGTTCACTTTACTCAGCATTTCTAATTGCTGACATTTTGACACATTAGCCTTATTGTTCTATCTCTATAAGTATAAAAAAACACTTTTTCCTGAACCATTTGAGAGTGAATCGCAGGCATTCCACCACAGTTCAGCACAGATTTCCTTTGGACACGGAGTTTCACTTGTTTAACCACAGAATACTTATCGAAATCAGGGAAATGTCAGTAATTAACATTACTGCAATGCTAGTAGTATCTGTGCTATAGCCCTTATTCAAGTTTTTACAATTATCCCAGTAATATCACTCATACGACTGTTTTAATTGCTGATCCAGGATTCAATTCAGGACCATACATTATATTTACAGGTCATGTCTCCTCAGTCTCCTTCAATGTGAAAAGGTTCATCAGCCTTTCCTTGTTTTTCAAAGGTATTGACCTTTTTAAGAGTACAAGCCACATTTTGTAGAATGCCTCTTAACTTGAGTTGATCTAGTGTCTCTTCATGATTAGATACAGCTGTGTACACTTTTGGCAGAAACACTATGTAAGTCATGTTACATTCTTCTCACTGCAGTACATGGGAAGCACTTTATAGTTAGTCCCATAATGGAGATGTTTAACTTTTGATCACTTGGTTTAAGGTAAGTGGTGCTTACCAAGTTTTTCCATTGTAAAGTTAACTGTTTTTCTCTTTTTGACTAATAAGTATATACTTATTATCAATAACTGTCAATAAAAGGAAGATGCTTTGAGACTATAGAAATAGCCTACTCCTCAAACTTCCTCCCAGTGGTAATTAGCATCTATTGATGATTCCACCTTAAGGAACATTTTTCCCCCCCTTATACTCTGGAGAGATTCTTGCAAAACTGTGCACAAGTAGACATCTGTAAGAACATTTTGCTACATTATTTGCAACAGCAAAATCGAGAATCAAGCCAAAGGTCCATTAGGTAGATGGACATACAGCAATAGGTACAAATATTGAATTATTGTTATACACCTGAAACTAACATGTAATATGTCAATTATATCTCAACCAAATAAATAAATAAGTGCAGTTCATATTAAAGATGGATACATTGCATGCTACATAGGAATTAAAAGAAATGAACTAGAACAGTTACCAATTTAGATAATTTGTAAACATCAGAATGAACAAACAACTCAGGATGATATATGAAAGGGAGCACTTTTATAGAGTTTGAATAATGCAAAACAATAAATATTATGTCTTGTTTAAGGATACACACATGTATAGGGGAAATATGACAATATGCATAAAAATAATAAATACCAAAAATAGAGTAGTAGTTTTAGAGGTTGGTGAAGTAATTAAATCAGGGAGGGATACACAGGAGAATTTGACTATTTCTATTTATTAAATTAAGTGTTAGATACACATATTATTGCAAAAAAAAAAAAAAGTTACATGGAACTGACAGTTGTTCCTAAATGAAGATCTCTACTGTAAGAGAGCATGTACCAGCTTAGGAGTATTTGTTGGTGGTGGTGGTGGTGGTTTTCAATATATTTTATTAAGTTTTACAGAGAAGAAGGAAGAGGGATAGAGAATTAAAAACATTGATAAGAAAGAAACATTGATCAGCTGCCTCCTGCACAACCCCCACTGGGAATCCAGCCTGCAACCAAGGTACATGCCCTTGACCGGAATCAAATCCAGGCCAATGATCTATCCATCGAGCCAAACCAATTAGGGCAGGAGTTCTTTAATAAGGCACACAAATATCTGAAAATTATAAAAATAGATTTTAAAAGAAGCACTACTGAATATATTTTACCTCCTTCCTGACATATATTGACTATTGAGAGTCAGAATGACTGATTCAATTCATGCTAAGTAAAATTCTGATAGAAAAAAAAAAGCATTCGATTCAATCAACATAGAGTGGGCACTCACCATGTATTAGGCGTAAAAAAAAGGTTAGAAAGAGAGGAAGTATTGCTTTTGGCACCAGGAAATATTCAGAAGTGAACTGACAGTCTTCAAAATATAGGCATAGCCCCAGCCAGTGGTTGAGAGTTGACCTATGAACAGGGAGGTCACAGCTCAATTCCCAGTCAGTATGCATGCCCAGGTTTTGGGCTCCATCCCTGGTGGGGGCATACAGGAGGCAACCAATCAATGATTCTCTCTCA